AAAAAAAAAAAAAAAAAAAAAAAAAAAAAAAAAAAAAACGAAGCTGTGGAGCGCCAGTCCAAAAAAAACAACGGCACGAAATTCTTTCCACAGGGTCAGAACCTGCTTTGGAATATTGCACCTGGAGAGAGAGAAAAAAAAAAAACTTCAAGTTGAAGAATCTCTTACAGTCTCCGTTCCTACCTTGCAAGTCTTCTCTTAGGATTATCTTCTTCAGAGTAATAGCCAACACACCTGCGCGAGTGGTCGCCACACAGAAAGACAAGAGTGCAACATCATCACAAGTTCACAACCAATATCATTCCGCTGATTCCGGTTCTTTGTCCTGCACCCAACCACTACCTTACCATTTCTCTCTCCCTCCTTCCCTCCCTCTCTCCCTCTCTCTCACACACACACACACACACACACACACACACACACACACACACACACAACTCTGGGCAATGTGGTGAGTCCTTATTTATCAGTCAATTGCGTGCTGGGCAGACCGCCAGGGTTCTACCTGCTGATGAATCGGTAAAAGTCCGGCGAAACAGTCTGGCACACTCATGCTTTTTTTGAGTGCGTAGCGAATATGCCAACACACACATACACACACATTCATGAATCTCCGTCAGCTCAATAGTACGGTTCATGGATATCTCTTGACCGTTGCCCCGCCTCATCCATCACGGTGACCTTGATACTACAGCCTTGCTTGTCCGGTCACTGCATCCCTCCTGCAACGCCCCGCCCCGAGGCAACGTCTCCAACAGCTACAACAATTGCTGCACACAGTGTTGGAAATCACTTTTGGTCCATCAACGGGATGACTTGGCGCTTCTTCAAAATCCGACACGGGAGGCAGGGGCAGCGGGGCTTGTGGTGGCGACGAGGGGGGGAGATAACGCGCTCTGCGGTGAAGGGGCTAGCCTGCAGGGTCCAACAACGGGATGACTTGGCGCTTCTGCTGTAACACGTACGTTTTCACATGTTTTCAATGTGAAAACATACGTGCTTTTGCTATTTACTCCGTCCGTTGGATGATATCTTCTGCTGGCCAGTTGGCACTTTCGGGATCCCAGTACTCTCACCTGGTGCTGTGAGTCTGTTCATCTCTACGCCGTCTCTACTTGTCTAGTACAGACAGAGGGCCCAGAAAACTTGCTCCCCAAACAAAACTTGAAGCTCCCCAAAAAACTTAAAACAACCCCCCAAAAACAAATCCACAAACTAAGGAGTCTAGACCAGTAGGGAAGCCTGCTTGCATATTTAAAAAAAAAAAAAAAAAACCAAAAATTTTTTTTTTTTTTTTTTTTTTTTTTTTTTTTTTTTTTTTTTTTTTTTTTTCCATGGTGACGTTGTCTTACAAGCCGGGAACCAAGCCGGGCGTCCCTTAACAATGTTGTTGTGCTCCCCCAGTGGGACGGCATCACCGGCGGGACCCAGAGGGGAAGTCACAGCGACCCCAGGAAAGAAAAGGCAAATGCAAATATTGCAGAATATCCACAGCACATTCTACTATACTATGAAAGAAACGTACGAACTGAAGCCAAATGCAAGACGAAAACAGAAAACAACGCAAAATTAATGTGCGGGATGCCTCAGATGAAGAACCCAGAGAACACCAGCCGGGGCATTTTGTCATGATGCATCTGTACCGTCACCAAGTCCCTACAGCGGTACCAGCGGGCCAGATATTTCTTAATCGCTCTTGGCTGAAACCCCCTGTTCTGTACTGTCAGCGACCAATCTGTGGAAAGCATCGACGTTATAGCATATTTCACTTCTGCGCACACCATTGGGTGGGTAAGTGACCGTAAGTCTCTCCCCTCTGTACTTTGCAGAATTGTTGAGGTTCCATAGAGTCCACAGCATCGCCCCACGCAGGGACTCTTCCGAATATTATGCGACAGCAGTGTCCAGCTTTTCACGCCTGGCCGCGACCCCTAGCAACACAGAGTCATCTGTCCATCGTGTCATCGCTCCAGGGATAGGCACTGCACCGGATCTCCACCATTCCCATAAGCCATGCGCGTATTCACACAGCAGGCAGACTCTGAGGTGTTGTATGTCTTCTATTCTTGTTCCGGCACAGACAACGCACAAAGATGTGGCTTTGGAGGTTCTAGCTGCACACCATTGTCCAGTCGGGACTGCCAAATGCATGATCAGCCACAGAAAACCGGAATGTTTCACCACCGACAGGTCCATCAAACAGTTTCCAAAAGGCAGGCAGCGCTTGCACCAGTCGTTGGAGGAAGTCAGCTACCCAACCTGTCGCCATCCATCGTTTAGCAACATTCCACTGGCAGCTCATATCCACAACGGGTCTTGTCAACTGGTACCCCATTCGCGTGGTGTAATGATGAAGAGGTGTTTTTTTTTTTTTTTTTTTTTGTTTGTTTGTTTGTTTGTTTGTTTCGCGAAGGATAATGGTGTCACCCCCAGTCCCGAGGGTCCATCAGGAGAGGATAAGATGGGAGAGCCAATGGGAAGGAGGGCAAGTCTTCACCACAATCCAAGACACAGACAGGTAGCAAGGAGGCAAATGGTGGCATTGCCAAGAGGATGTGCTGATCTGTGTCTCAGCGAGTGGTGGTCCCGAAGAGTACCGGGCCGAATCAGTTAACCATGAGGTCGCCTGCAGGTGAGAGGCATCACCAGCTGCCTCCAATCTCCACAGTACGGTGGGCAACACATCGTCGATCCGTTTGTACCATCCTCCCGTTCGAGGAACGAGAGCGATGCAGAGCACCTGCACCCGAGCGGGTGGCCGAGCTTGTTGCAGAAAGGCAAGGTGAGCTTGCTGGTGCCATAGTCCAGACAGCTAGGGGGCCAGAAGATGCAGAGGTTTCCAATCTGCCAGTTCAAGGTCCCATATTATATCTGCAACAGTGCCCACTCCCCTTGACATCCAAGCATTTTTTTTATTTTTTTTTTTAATTATTTTTTTACATCCAAGCATTTCCGAAAGCCCCAGTTCCAAAACACGCAAACGGGGCTCCTTCGCTCGTAACTATTGCCGGTTTTTTTTTTTTTTTTTTTTTTTTTTTTTTTTTTTTTTTTTTTTTTTTTTTTTTTTTTTTTTTTTTTTCCTTTTTTTTTTTTTTCCTTCTTTTTTAATCCATGAGGGCTATCGCATGGTGGTCATAAGAGCATCCCTCTGTGAAATACAAAACTCCTCAGAGTCTCGGATGGCCCCAATCTATTTTTGGGGAGCAGCACCTGCTGGAAACCGGGTCCAGCATCCCTTCTTCAGAGTACATCAAAGTATCATAGCGTCTCAATCGCGAATGGGATTGGTTGGGACTGTTTTTCTTTCCCAGGCCTGTATGGCTGCGGCTTATATGTAAGGGACTCCGGACCCGGCTTCCGGCATATAATGGAATAAATGCCTTCTTTTTATAATAAAAAAAAAGGGTATCATAATCTCATTCAGAGGGTGATCAGTAGTATATATCAGAGATGCTGGACACAAATTATGAGGGTGATCATCATGTCATTCAGAGGGTGATCAGTAGCATATCAGTAGTATGTCTGAGCCTTTACCCGGCTTCACCTCATCATTTTCAAGGGCTCTTTTTTTTAAATCCAATACTAGCTCCAAGTCACCCACAACAACAACAACAACAACAACAAAAAAAAAAAAAAAANATTGAAGAGGGGTTGGACCAAAATTCGCTCAGCCTCCAACGGAAGGGGGGGCAGTTTGGGACAGCACCTCTTCCATGCTCTCAATATCCCTGCCCAAATCGCATGAGGAAGTTTCTTGTTCAGATAAGGCAGCATAAGAACCGCCAGCCACAAACGGCGTAGCATTACCCAATCCCATCCGGCAAAGAGCGCAAAATCAGCCAGTTGCCTCCAGGGGACCATCGGGCCTAGTACCAAAATCGCCCAAGGCACCCACCGTGCCAGCAAGGCTCCTACCTTCTTCCCCCGAATACAACGTACGGTCATTATGGCTGTATTTGGAGCATCTTTCAGTCCAAATACAGCCATAATGACCGTACGTTGTATTCGGGGGAAGAAGGTAGTATTTGGTATTCCAGGTCGAGAACCGCCAGCCCTCCCATCCGTTTGGGCTGTGTGACCACATGCCACGAGGCCCACGACACTTTGGGCAGGTAGGAATCTCCATGCAGTTCGTCCTTCCAAAGATAACCGGTAGCCATCCCTCTGGCCATTTGCAGGGTCCAGGGATCAAATTGAAAAATGGCTCTTTGGTACCATATAGTGGAAAATAGTGAATTGTTGATAAACAAAGATCTGCCAAAAAGGCTAAGTTAAACACCTTTGCGGGCAGTCCGTACCCAGAAGGCTGCTCGCATGCGCTCCATGGCGCACGTCGCATCAGTCATTAGTGCAGGAGCAAAAGAAATACGATGTCCCAGCAATCTCTCTTCAAGTTGTTGAATCGGGGTGACCACCTGGAGGCCCCGGCATGAAAAGGAGGGGGCACATCCGGGGGAATGAGGAGGGATGACCTGGACCAATTAACTGCAGCTTGTGAGATGCCACAAAATGTAGCAATCGTGAGTCGCAGAGCTTGAAAGGCGTGGTCGGTTAGCGGGCTAAATGCGACAGAGTCATCTGCAAAGCCGTCTGACTTCAGTCGATGGGCCGGCGGGAGAACAAAGCCAGGGAATATCAGGATTGGCTCGTATCATAATGCGCATTATTTTCACGTACAATAAGTACAGATAGGGAGCCATCGGGCAGCCTTGGCGAACGGACCTGACCAGCGAGATTGGGGCAGATAGCTCGCCGTTGACCACCAAATTGAATCGAAATGAGGCTTGGTGGGTGAGAGCAGCAATTGCATGGATTGCTTGAAGCGCAGCCCAAAGTTCGAATCGAGATGAGGCTTGGTGGGTGAGAGCAGCAATTGCATGCTTGAAGCGCGGCCCAAAGCCAGACGAATGCAAAGCTGCTTGTAGAAATTCCCAGCCAATGCGATCGTAGGCTTTTTCCAAGTCTGATCTGATCACAATTGCCCAGAAATATATGTCAAGGGACGCTGAACCCGTTTTTCAGCAGGTGCAGCTCCCCACCAATAGATGGAGCCCACAGTGAAGCTGGTAGGAGTGTATGCTCTTATCATCACTCCTAACAGCAGTCACGGGGTTATTAAAAAAAAAAAAAAAAAAAAAAAAAAAAAAAAAAAAAAGGCTTTTTCCAAGTCTACAACTAAAATTGTTATCCGTAGACCACCTTCAGCTAGTACCAGTTCTATGATCTGCTCAACCTTCATGATATTATACAGGATATGATGATCCTGCATAAACCCTGTTTGGGTATGGTGAATCAGCATCGGCAAAACAGTCTGTAGGCGCAAGGCAAAAAATTTGAGGAGAAAAATTATAAAGTCCAGACATAAGAGTGCTAGGCCTCCAATTACAGACATCGGATCTATCACCCTTTTTTAAGATAAAAGTTGTCACCCCTGCCACCATTTCAGGGGGGGGCGAAGCCCCCCCCAAAAGGGCTTGTACTGTGTTTGTCAGTTCCGGGAGCATTCGTATTACATTTTTTTAAAAAAGAAGGGTCGGAATACCGTCAGGTCCAGGGGCTTCATGGGATGGCAAGGAGGCAACGACCTTCATGACCTCCTCCGAGCTAACTGGCCGTTCCAATAAGGCGGCCTGTTGCACATACATGACTGATGTGACCCTGGACCAAACCGCATCGTGGTAGTCGTGAATCAACTCTTCTTCTGTGTGCTGAGCTTGGGACGCAAGAAGGTGCTCGTAAAACAAAGCGACATTCATTCATTGCAATACCAGGTGTGTCCATGGCCGGCGGGACAGTGTCACAAAACAGATGATGCATCGCTGTCATAAGCGCAGGATCCGACCACAACCGGCGACTCCCAAAGAAAGAAGCATTCGTTCTATCTCCCTTTGTCAGCCAGGCGACCTGGATCGTGTAGGCCGCCGTTCGCAGCGCTGGCAAGG